ATTTCTTGGTAAAGAATTGTTGCAAGCATCAATTTTGAATAAATTAGCTTCAATATTTACTGATTTTGTATTTCTCTAAATTACCGTTATATGAAAGTGGGCGTGGTTATCGTCCGATTTTAAAAATTTTCTGCGATTTTGTATGCCGTACCAAGGCCAAAAACTGTACCAAGTTTGGAAGAAATTGGTGTAGCGGTTACCAAGATATTAACATGTAACCATAAGTGGGCGTGGCTACGCTCATTTTCCAAAAATTTATAATATTCTTATTTTTCGTCTAAAAATTGTTGCAAATATCAATTTTGAGTGAATAACCTTCAGTAGTTACTAAAATATCGCAGTTTTCGTATTTCTGAAAATTACCGTTATATGGGAAGTAGGCGTGGTTATTGAGCGATTTTAAAAATTTTCGGCCATTTGGTATGTTGTGCGAAGGCCAACAACTGTGCCAAGTTTGGAAGAAATTGGTGCAGCGGTTACCAAGATATACACATGTAACCATAAGTGGGCGTGGCTACGCCCATTTTCCAAAAATTTATAATATTCTTATTTTTCGTCTAAAACTTATTATAAATATCAATTTTGAGTGAATAACCTTCAGTAGTTACTAAAATATCGCAGTTTTCGTATTTCCGTAAATAACCGTTATATGGGAAGTAGGCGTGGTTATTGAGCGATTTTAAAAATTTTCGGCCATTTGGTATGTTATGCGAAGGCCAACAACTGTGCCAAGTTTGGAAGAAATTGGTGCAGCGGTTACCAAGATATACACATGTAACCATAAGTGGGCGTGGCTACGCCCATTTTCCAAAAATTTATAATATTCTTATTTTTCGTCTAAAACTTATTATAAATATCAATTTTGAGTGAATAATCTCCAGTAGTTACTAAAATATCGCAGTTTTCGTATTTCTGGAAATTACCGTTATATGGGAAGTGGGCGTGGTTAAAGTCCGATTTCGCCCATTTTCAATACCAACCTACCTTGGATTAAGGGAAACCTACATACCAAATTTCGTTGAGATATCTCAATTTTTGCTCGAGTTATCGTGTACACGGACAGACGGACAGACGGACAGACGGACAGACGGACGGACAGACAGACATGGCTTAATCGATTTCTTTTTTCATCCTGATCATTTATGTATACATTTGTCTATATCTATCTCGATTCGTTTTGGCTGTTACAAACAACCGTTATGTGAACAAAATTAATATACCCTTGTGCACAAGTGCGCTCGGGTATAAAAAAAATAGGCAAACTTTGCTAAAGTGTATAGTCCTAATTTATATTTTGGACACTGTATGTATTCCTCACTTCGAGTCAAAGGCTTCCAGATTGGAAAATAATAACTGATAATGGAGAAAATTGCGATCATATACCAATATTATTTAAAACAGGTTCATAGGCATGCCATTTTAATGAGCTGTTAAGGCGTCGAATTAACGAACATCGAATACGGGACAAATACAGGATATTAAAAGAAAAACAGAACATTTAGCGTCCCGTACACAGGACGGATGGTCACCGTAACTATAGTAGGCCGCGCGTGTACTCTAGTGTCAAGAATTAAGCCGTAAAATGTAAGTTGAAATGTTACCCGCACAGTGGAATGAGCCATACGAAACGTAACTCTTCTTCTTTCCGTTTATTCCGACAGACTGTAGGTGTGTTTTTGGTTCAGAGTATTTGGTGATTTGGAAGAAATAGTTATGTATATACATCTCTACTATATATTTGTGAAAGTATGTATGTATGTATGTGCCAGGTTGCAGTCTAAACGGATGGACAGAATCGGCCAAAATTTTGCCATAACACCTGGGCCTATAATAGGATGAAAAAAATTGGGATCCGACAAGGGGTCGTAGGGGTAAAATTTTTAATCAGCCATAACTTCCAGACCATAAGTCACATGAACTTGAAACTTGGTACGCAGACATGTCAATGGTGATATAAACGAGTTTGTAAAAGGGGGCGTGGCACATCCCATAGGCGTGGAATTTTTTATCAGCTATAACTTCGGAACCATAAATCTCACGAACTTGAAATTTAGTATGCAGACATACCAATGGTAGGTGCTTATAATAAGGTCTATATAAATGAGTTTGTAAAAGGGGCGTAGTGCATCCCATAGGCATGGATTTTTTATCATCTATAACTTCGGAACAATAAGTCCCTCGAGCTTGAAATTTAATATGAAGACATATCAATGGTAGGTGCTTATAGAAGGGGATATATAAACGAGTTTGTAAAAGGGGCGTAGTGCATCCCATAGGCATGGATTTTTTATCATCTATAACTTCGGAACAATAAGTCCCTCGAGCTTGAAATTTAATATGAAGACATATCAATGGTAGGTGCTTATAGAAGGGGATATATAAACGAGTTTGTAAAAGGGGGCGTGGCACATCCCATAGTCGTGGAATTGTTTATAAGGTACAACCTCGGAACCATAAAACACACGAATTTGAAATTTGGTATGCAGACGTACCAATGTTAGGTGCTTATAGGATAGGGTATATGTAAATAAGTTTGTAGAACGGAGCGTTGCACATCGCATAACCGTGGAATTTTTTATCAGCTATAACTTCGGAACCATAAATCTCACGAACTTGAAATTTAGTATGCAGACATACCAGTGGTAGGTGCTTATAGGAGGGTATATATAAACAAGTTTATGGGGGCGTGGCACATCCCATAGGCGTGGAAAAATTTATCAGCTATAACTTCAAAACCATAAGTCAATGAAATTTTAATTTGGTATGCAGACATATCTCTGCTAGGTGCTTATAGTAAGGTGTATATGAATGAGTTTATAAAAGGGTGTGTCCCGTAGGTGTGGAATTTTTACTCAGCCATAAATTGGGAACCATAAGTCACATGAACTTGAAATTCGGTATTCAGACATAGGTATCTATGGGAAGTGTTCAGAGTAAAGTATATATAAATGAGTTTGTAAAAGGGGTATATACATATATTTATTCATCTATTAGATACTTCGGATATTTAAAACTGTGTATTTTTATTTTTTTTTTTTGAAACCTTACCGTTTTTAGATTATTTTTAAATGGAAAGATTAAATTGGTTTTTAATACTGCGATGCTGTTAAAGGAAAAAGGTTCATTCACAATGAATAAAACTCCTTCCGAATTAAGCATTCTACCAGAAAAGTGCAGCTATAGTAAAACAGCTAATCGAATAGGCAGCTAAACGGAATGTACCGTAGTAGACTAATTTTAATTTAGAAATTTGATCGTTACCTTAATCCACCTAATATTAATAACGGAACAAGATTTGTAGTACAAGTGATGATCAATATATATTAGTTAAAGCACGATAAAGCTTAAAGTATGGCTCATAAGGATGCCTTAATGTAAACAAAGAAAATAGTTTGTCTCCTCTAAATTATGCTGAGCTGAATATTTGTATTACTGTTTTATATTTTTATTTGTTTACTTCGAACGACGTCAGGTGCTCTGCTAGTATGCATATAAATGGAAGAAATAGTAATAGACAAAAGGATATGCCATAAACGATTGATCTTAATTGTAGAAATTTTTTGACAACACTGAATCACAAATTTTAGGACCAATTTCAGACGGCCTATTTAAGTAGAGATTCAGTTCTGACACAGTTCAAACTACGAGCAATTATTTACTGCAGTGGAATTATGATAATCGCTACACTAAATTTTTGTCGCTAAAATTCTCTAAATGAAAATCAGTGGGGGGAAAAGTATACACCGTGGAGAGTAACACATGTAATCTGTAATCAGTCAAATCTGGCAGTATGAGGGAATGTGACTAGATGTTGCGCGTTGTTAGGGGCGCCTGCTATTCTTTTGGAGATTTTTGGCGATCGAAATTAGCGATAGCAAATGTTAGAATTCGGCTGCTGGATTAGTAATTTTTTGGAACTTACTGGCAACTTTGTAAATTTAAAAATATAAGTTCATTGTAACCGCCCAATTCTGAATTTTCTTGATAAATTAATTGTAAAGAAATTCTATTAAGATTTTTATCACGTAAAAGCTCCTATCGCATTTTGTGTCAATATCAATATGAGTAGAACTGATTTCATTGTCACATATGAAAAATATGAATTTAAAATCAAAAAATCTTTTGGGTGTCGTAGCCGAAAGGTAGAGATGTCGGCTAAAAATTCTGTTTCGCAGGTTCAAATGCCGGCACATGCAGTATTTAAATCATTGTATAGGCTTACAAGTATGGAAAGCGCCATTTTGTTTGTTTACATTTGAAAACAGCTGAGATCACCTGATTTTCAATTCTCTCATTCTCCGCACAGAGTTACATTCAAGTTTCAGAAAAAACTTTAAAATGTAAATTGAGAAATATTTTAGAAAAATGTGTTTTTATTCATTTGAATTCAATAAAAAAGAAATTAAAAATGCGTGCCAAGTCTTGCATTTCCAATAATAACGATAAATGTGTATGTTCCAGGCAATAATTTAAAATATTTGTGAAACTTATCGTTTTGCGCTAAAATACATCAATGTGTGTGAAATTCGTTGTCATTGCTTTTGTTTTGAACATCATATTCGTGCCTGCCGGTGGAAAAATTAGGTAAATTTGCATTTATTTTTAAGAAAACATATAAATTAATGTATATTTCTTTCCAGAGCGACATATTAGTGCATTGGTAAAGTGCTCTTATCATTGTGTTATAGTCAACTGCAGCCAATCTTCTTTGGACAATAAGTTGTATTGGTGGAGCAGTTTCCTGAGCTTTGGAAGTGTTTGGGCTTGTTCGAGTTGCAATTACAACTGTAGTGTTGCGTGAATAAAGCATCACGTTCGCTGTGAATTTCTAGCAACGTTTTACCAATTAGGATGTTGGAACCGTCTTGCAAATTTTCATCAGCGCTGCAGTTTTTGTGCTTTTATTGCGTGCCTCGAGCAGGCCCTTTATCAGTGAATAGTTGTGGTTGTTGTAGTAGTAGCCGCATTACGAAGCCCGGCCTCAGTCGGTTTTCCATCAACAACAACGACAATAATAACCTGTTTATGCATTCCTGTTTTATTGCATTCCCCTTTCCAAATTAATATTATACTATGTTTAAGGCTCGGTGAAATAAATGAAGCGCTACTGGAGGCAAATTAAAATATCTCCCTCAGCAAAAATGAGACTCTCGCTCATGATGAAAGCATGTTAATAGTTTATTCTTTGAAACATCACCGACATAGTCATATTCTAAAGGTATACATTGATATTTTTCATGTTTATAAATTTTAATTGCTATTTTTGTTTGTTTACATATTTGACATTCACCACCAGCATCATCAACGCCATCACCAAATTCAATGCCATCAACACCATCAGCGGCTAGTAACAATGTTATACCACAGATTTATGGCGAATTACAACGAGGCAAAAAACATATACATATGTAGGAATTGTAAAATTCCTAAAATTTAGCAAAGTTTTAAGAAAACTGCATTTTCTTGAACCACTATAAATGATTTCCAATTGTTAATATATATCAAAAGAAAGCTAAAAGGATTACCTTTCCTTTGATTATAAAACCATTTAAATCGCTGGACATTTTTATGCAAATTTCGCAACTTTTGAAATCATCTATATGTAAGCAGTGGAAAGGTTCTAAAATTTTGCAAAGTTGTAAGAAAACTGCATTTTCTTGAACCACTATAAATGATTTCCAATTGTTAATATATATCAAAAGAAAGATAAATCGATTACCTTTCTTTTAATTAAAATACCATTGAATTCGTTTAACATTTTTATGCAAATTTCGCAACTTTTGAAATCATCTATATGTAAGCAGTGGAAAAGTCCTCAAATTTTGTAGTTGTAAGAAAACTGAATTTTCGTAAACCACGATAAATGATTTCCAACTGTTAATATATATCAAAAGAATAGTAAATTGATTAATATATTATTATTATTATTATAGTTTAATATCTTTATACATAGATTTATTTAATATCCCGTTTTGTAGAATGGTTATGATGATGTCTTAGAAACGCTTGCCATAATTGATTATTAATAAAATAAAGGTTTATACTTTAAAAGGATTTTTTATTTCAAATTGATATTCTTTATTTTTTTTAACTTATTGCTTTTCCACACCACCACTGAGGTTGCAATGAAGGCGCGTTACCGATTTTTTTTTTTGGGTGTTCGGTTCCCCAGGAGGCCTATTTTCACCCATACTATCTACAAATACGAAGTGCATGCATATAAGAAAATCTAAGAAATAGCAAAATCCACGAAATACGAAAAAACTACACAAATCTACTTGGAAAAAACGACTATGACTAATAATAAAATCTAAGAAATAGCAAAATCCACGAAATACAAAAAAACTACACAATTCTACTTGGAAAAAACGACTATGACTAATAATACTACATACAAGAAAACTACTTTATACAAATTTATATACAATATTTACAAAACCACCCACAGTAAATCCCTTTCTATGAACTGTAATAGAGTATAGCAAAAAAATAAAAAAAATATTGCGACTGTAAATGTAGAGAACATCAGCATATAGAAGCAAACTTTTGGGGTCAACAATTGTTATTAATAAGAGAGAATCACATCCCAAGACATCAAATTAAATTTTTAAATAAGATTGTTATTAAAAAAAAAATGTGGCACAAAGCCTAATAACATTAAAAAAAAAAAATTTTGGACGAAAAAAAATTGTGTAGCTCAGGAGCACTGTTAAAAAATTTTTTATCATTAAAAGAAATAGTACACAGTCATAGTCAGTAACACTGTTAAAAAAATTTTATGATAAAAAAAAACGAAAAATAGTGGTACACAGCTCAGTAATACTGTTAAAAAAATAAAAAAAGCTCAGTAATACTGTTAAAATAGATTTAATGATAAAAAAAAACAAAAAAATAGTGGTACACAGCTAAGTAACACTGTTAAAAAAAATTTTATGATATAAAAAAAAACAAAAAAATAGTGGTACACAGCTCAGTAATACTGTTAAAGCAATTTTGATCATTAAAAAAAAAAAAAATGGGGTACACAGCTCAGTAACACTGTTAACGCAATTTTGATCATTAAAAAAAAAAAAAATGGGGTACACAGCTCAGTAACACTGTTAACGCAATTTTGATCATTAAAAAAAAAAAAAATGGGGTACACAGCTCAGTAACACTGTTAAAAAAATTTAATGATAAAAAAAACAAAAAAAAATAGTGGTAAAAGCTAACTTAACATTCATTTTTTGAAAAGTGTTTGGTTGAATATGGGCCGAGGTTAATTTATGAGTGCAACTGATTTCAGAGCCACCGCACACTGCAGACTTTATTGCCGGTTATATGGGCTTGCTTGTCTGTCCATTGCATTTTCGGGCGCGATTAAGTTGGTGTAGTGCGCTCACCATACATCTATTCTGCACTGTGTGGGAGCTCCAATAATCCACTTCTGTTTTTTTAAATAATTTCTACTTACCTGGCCATTTCCCCTTCCAGAGGAAAAGGATAGAGGGGTACTTCCAGAGGGCATCCGGCTATGCACGTTCGGTTTGGCATTTTCACAATCTGAAAACAAAAATGATATGGCATGAATATATAAAAACAAAAGTTAAAATGCTTCAAAAACTTACGGACAAGTAAGATGATAAATTCGTATGATGAATATCGCGAAAAACCGTTTGCATAAATCTTTGAATCAAAATTTTTATTCAAATTTGTATTTGGC